TCCTCGTCCGTAGGGCCAGGATCAGTGCCTGCGGCTTTGTTTGGTAGCTTTAGGCCCTCAAGTCGCGGGTTTTCGGTCCCGAGCTTCGCACAGAGCTGCCGACGACTCTCCCTAACGGCCTCACACCAAACAGCATTAAGCTCTTCATAAAGCTTAATGCAGTAATTGACAGGGTAGGCGTTCTCATCCTCCTCATTGGCCTCGCGCAAGAAGGAAAGGAAGGCTAACCGCTCGGGACGTGTTCCAATCCGTACGCCGAGCCAAACACCTTAACGGCGTTCTCGGCATAGCGAAGCCAAGTGAGGAACGCCGCAGGGGCCATGCTGCGCGGTTCCACCTTGTGGTCTGTGGGTGGCGTCCAGGATTCGACCTGTTCTGCTTTGGCCGTGGCGCAGTCTGATGCCAAGAGAGTGTAACTCTCCTCTCCGCCCCGCCGCAGGCCAGCGACTGAAAGTGCCAACCTGTTAGTGAGGACGGGCCAGCGAATGAGCTGCAGGGTATGCTTGGCATGGTTCGCTCGTTTGATAGTGTGGAAAAGCTCCTTGCCGTAAACCCCGGAACAAAGCTCCAGCTGGGTCTCGCCGCATCCGCGCGCCAGAAAGACGTCCAACTTCTCCGATTGTTTGGTGGAGGTAAGGGTGTTTTTGGCGCCGGTCTTGTCTTAGTCCTGGGCCTTCCTCACCATCGATGGCGTGAATGATGCGATCGGTGGCAAAGCCGAGGTTCCGTGCCTCGGCCCCTCCGTCTTTCCCCAGGGCTTTCCCGAGGCAGTACGGGACCAAGGGCTACGCCTCAGCCACAATAGCACCCCTGGTCTGGTGACCTCACACGGTCTGCCGAGCAAGACGAAAATTGTTAGGAGGGGTCGTTCCGACCTTCCCCTAATGCGGCTCCCACCGGTTTTCGGGTCGCTTCTCTCTTCCCTTCCTCCACTGGCAAAGCAGGAGGTCCACAAAAACCCACCGGGCAAAAGATCGGGGCATCCTTTCGGGAAGGCCTTGGCAACGCGGGTCCGGGAGATCGAGAGCTTGGGCCGTCAGCGTAACACCTTCCTCCCTGCTTCCTCCCTGGGAACTCCATGCCTGGTAGACGTCATAGATCTCGGACAAAGAGGGTATCTTTCGCTCTGCGACTTCCGCATCATCGTCCAACATCCGAGCGGACTGGACCTGGGATCGGGGCGGTGTCGCGAACTCCTCAGTTTCATTAGGCTTGGGGGTAAGGCGGAAGACTCCCTCTTCATGGGCAGGAAAGCTCTCTCTGGGTCGCTGGAAATCTCCAGGATCTCAGGCCCGTCAGGATGGTTGGTTGACTGTTCTTGGGGCTCACAGACACCCCATTCCAGGTACCTATCCATTCGGTAAGGTCCCGGGCACGTGGCTAGCCAGCACGGAGATCCCGATGGCAGGGGAGGTAATCGAAGCAGAGGGGACGCTGAAGGAAAGTCCCAGAATGGGCACCGATATGAGCAGACGCTCATTCCTTCTGGACTTCTGGAGTAGGGGCAACTCCCTCCACGGTACCAGCAAACAAGTATTATTGAGGGGGATGAGACAGGAATAAGGTTTCAAGCGGACAAGTACGGGCCTCCGCTGGGCTGGTACGGCGACCCTCTGCTCCAGGTCACCGAGCGGCTCGACGAGCGCAGCGGGGGGCTTGGGAGCTTGGTCGGAACGACCCTTTACCCTTCGAGGGGGTGAGGGGTCGCTTCTTGCGAAGCGAACGGACCGATTAACTCATTAGTAGTTTTCGGGGTCCTGGGTGCAGTGCTAGCGGCGGGGCTTAAACTTCTCGCGGTTTCCGCAAGATGTTTCCTGCGTAAAGGAGCGCCCCGATGTGCTCCATGCACTGCAGCTCCATAGCAGGAAAGCACGCTGCACTTCCTTCCTTGACATGAAAGCATATAAAGCTGACTGTGATGGTTACAAAGGCGTGCTACAGAGCTGCCCCCAAGGTCCGAAAGCTCCTGATCCCGATCAAGTAAGCGAGTGGCTTCGGATACAGCTCTGTACCGCGAGGGCCTTTACCACCCCTTGCAACTCATGTCCCACCTGCACTGCCTGGTAAGGGTCCTCAACGACCTCAGCTTCTGACTCAGATTGGGGGTGAAGCGCCCTCAGTACACCTTGTTGCTGAATCTGGCGGGCAGCACCTCCTCGACTAGGTCGGCGGGCCATCGGCCCACGACTTACCCAAAGCAGGCTACGCTTGAACAAGCCGGCAGCTAGGCCGAGGAGAACCCCTGCTCGCCAGGGCCCGAACCGTCCGTACGCTCCAAGGTCCACGAGGGCTTCAGAGTCAACGGCGGCGTAGGCCCTGCAATGGAGGGCAGTAGGATTAGAACAATCCGCCGAACGGCACAGGTGAACACACTGATGACGCTCGAGCTCTTCTCGCAAGCGCCGGTCCGTGGCACCCAACACCCGGGTATCGGACAGCCAACCCTGTGCAGTCAATCCGAGATCCGCCCTCCCAATCAGGCTGAAGACGAGCTGCGCCAGCTGCCATTTTGATCAGAACATCGTTGGGCTTCCGACCTACACCACGACCTCGAATCTTTCTTTGAAAAAAGGGCCCGCAAACTCTGGGTCGAGATACCCCTGTGCGACCTCGACTGAGGGGGCAGCATGAACCTGTGGTGGGCGCCCTGGCCCGTGACCGGCAGGATCTGCCCTTCTCCCACAGCAGCAACAGAGGTACTGACGAAGGATCTTGACTGACCACGCCAAGCCAGCCAGCAAACCGACGCCGAACATAGCCAGGGAGGCCCACGCTACCAGAGGCCAGTAGTTGCCAAAGCACCACAGACCGGTGCGGTCCACCAAGTAGGTGGCCCATCCACCGCTGGTGCTTGCCTTTCCATCCTGCAATCGGGTGGAGAAAATGCGGCCCGCAGCCCACTCAACCAACAGGGAGATACTCCACCATCCCCACGCAAGTTCCTCGGCGACCGGTGGTTCCAGAGGAGGGCTCGGGGAAGGAGCCTCCCACCAGCTCCACCGAAGGGGCTCGGAAGGTTCCTGAGGTGAGGGTTTGGGGGTGTAGGTTTGCCCGTCCTTCAAAGGGACTCCATGGGGCAAGACTTTGGACGGAACGTCCCCAGGGGTGTGAAAGGCACTAGCGTTGGTACTGTTTTGAGGGTTCCATCCTAAAAGGGCGGAACGCCCGTTGCCCCAAGCTAACCACCCTGACACAACTGGGAACGCGAGCAGTCCAAGACGCATACCAACCGCCATGGCTTTTGACACTGTCCTGTTCACAACGAAAAAGCTTGAGCACAAAAATCTTGTGCCAAACAGGAACGTCGCTGGCAGAACTCTACGTTATAGCTAACAACCAATTAGGGGTTTAGGGTTTTCGGAGTTTAGGGGCTTAGGTGTTTAGGGTTTTAGGATTTTAGGGTTTAGGGTCTGATGATCATGCTTCAGTGTTCTGGACAAGGTGGGGGTAGTGTGAACAACCTGACCATCCTGACCCAATGCACAAGCGATGTCCACGTGGACATGTGGACAGTGAAGGGGCGAAGTGTTGAAGGGGATCATAACAAGGGGAACTCTCGCAGTTGCACATGTGCAGCATTCTCCTGCTCACAGTGCCAAAGATTGCAACCTCGTTAGACACTTTGCCAATGGCATGGTGGTGCAACCACATCTAGTACAAGCTGTCAATTTCCAAGTGGCTCAATTCTGACACCCCAACTCCAGTCAGGCGGTACAGGGAGTGGCTTGTGAAGTTCTGCGACGTGCGCTACCCTCATGGCTCAGCTGCCCCGAAGCAGTCTTGCTATGAATGCAAGCAGTGCTTCTGAATCAGAGTTGCAATGCTGGCTAAAGGTGGCAGCTTCCGGGACGTCCTTGCGTTTGGGGCTTTGTCCGTGATCTTGAACCCTAAACCCTCACCGATTTCACATGCTTCATCCGCTTAGGTGACAGCATCATCGAAGCAGGCTTGTATTCCTTGATAGTGACCGCACAGGAGCCCCAGACAGTTCTTGTAGGGTAGTAGACGTACGGCCTCTCAAGTAGTCTACACAGGAGACTTGCCGAGGAAGTCCGCATGTGCCATGCTCAGACACCTTCCCAGTGCCAAAAACATCTAAGAACCTTATCGCCGCTGCTCTGAATCGAAGCTTGCGTGGCAAGTGTCGCTGCCAGAGGTCTGTCGACAGAGTCTTCAGGCAGCTGGCACGCTCTTGGGCTTCATGGGTGCGCGAGGGCAAGGGCGACAGGCTGGTCAAGCCAGGGTGATCCGGTAATCTCCTGGCATCATCTAGCATCCTTTGTATCAGAAATTGGGCAGGAGGAGCGCATGAGGATGATGATGCAGAGTGCGGCGGGAGCCCCAGCTGAGTTTTCTTTCACAAGCTAGCACGCCTGGGGTTGGCCATGCACCTCTTTTAGGCCAAAGCCAAGGCAGCAGCCACGTCCCCGGTCATGAAAAAGTATCAGAGTTCATTGAAGTTCAAGACCTAGATCTACAGGCGGGGGCTCCGCCTCAGTCTCGGGACCGCGTTGCCGCAGTTTCGCCAGAGCCCTTTTCACTTCTTCCAGCTGAGGCAGCGCAGTGGAGCTGTGGCATTTAACAAGCTGGTAAAAGAGACCGTGCCGGCCTCAGGTTCCCACAGCCTCTTTCATTCTATGCATCAAGCATTCTACACTGGAAGGATATGTCGCAGTTTGCCACCAATGCGCTGACCCCAGCATAAACATGGACCAACATGCTCCGCATGCATGTGTCTCCATGCGACTTGGCAATGCGCATGGCTGCTGCCGGCCAGATTCAAGGTTCAAGAACTATTGCTCTTGCACAAATCGAGCTCCCTTTTCGTGCAAGATGCCTGCAACGTGCCACAGGCTTACTCATGCTTTGACCCTGGCGCAGTTCGCATGTCATGATTGTCGGCTTCTGGGCTCAACAAGGTGGAGTAGGTCTGGCAAATCTACGTGTGCAAAGCTTTGTCTTGGATGTGAGAGGGTTCTCGGAATGTGGCAGCTTTGGTGATGCCTCGTGCCATCCTGCAGCACCTGGCTTGGGGCTGTCTTGGACTTGCACTTTTCAGGGTCACAGCTGTGCGAGATGACCTGCCTGAATGGAGTGACTCCGTTGATGCTCACTTGAGCACCTTGCCATCTGCGCACCCACAGCCGGGTTGGGCACTCCTGCTGGACAGAAGGGAGCCCAACCAAGAGTTGCATCTTCCAGGGCCACATGTCTCGGCTCGGAAAGGCAACGCTGCAGAACTGAATTCTGACCGAGTTGCAGCTGGCGTGGGCAGCATATCAGTTGGACCTTTCGAGGGAAGCTCCTCCATGCAAAGGTTGAGTCGAATTGACCGAGTCAGTCCAGCTGAGGGCGCACAGGCGAGCCAATCAAAGTCAAAGACGTCCAAGCAACAGGAGACGGAAGAAGAGAAACTGAGAAACACAGAAACTTCGTCGGGTTCCTCTAGGCATGCGGATTTGGCGCAAGCTGTTCAGAAAGCCGGTTCTTCCAGGCGCAAGCAGCAAAATCAGACCTCAGACGGGCTGGGGAATGGCTCCGAGCCACATCCAGGTAGAAGCCATGATGAGGCAAAATATGCGTACAAAAAGACCACGGATGACATGGAAGGATTGCCAGATGTAGTGGAAGCTATGGATGCTACCAAAGACTCTGCAGCCAAGAAAGCGTTAGCTGTCCAGCCCTTAGCGTGTTGCATGTATGCTACGTCAGGTCCTGCAGATTGGGAATACATGTCATGGGGTCTGGAATTCCTGGAATGAGGTCGACAAGGCTTTTGGAAAGCAGCAAGAGAAGGTGAAGGAGCTAGGAATTGTGCTTGATCATCTTGCGGTGTCAGCTAAGAAATATGAGACGAGCGTTGTAGATTTCTTTGCAAAGCAAGAGGACAATGATAAGTTTTCACCACTCGCGAAGCGCATGTGATAGCTTGGAAAATGTGTTCTGCAGTTTAGCCCTTGCAATCTGAAACACCGCTGGCAAATCGTCTGCACCAGCAAAGGCTACAAAGCCTGGCTGAGTCGAGTGATGACGGCTGTAAGGCTAGCTGGGCACCACATTTTTGTCCAAGCATCTATCCTTGCAGCAGGCTGTCCAATCAGTTGGCATCCTTCCGACTATTCTGGGAGTCCTGAAGCAGCACAGACGCCGGCCTCTTGGGAGCATGCGACTGACCCTGCAACTGTGGGTCAAGTCAATTTCTGAAATTGTTCAGGCAGTGAAGCTGCAAACTTCTATGCGCTGCGGGTCATTTGGAGTGCTGGCCTTCAGCAACCGTCAGAGACTTGTGCAGAGTGTGCTTGCCCAGGCCTGCTTACCAACACAGCCTTGATTCGCCTGCCTCTGAATTTGGAAAGCGCTGTTATCCTTTCATCATTTCCAAGTGGATGGACTATGATGGACTGAGGTCATGCCGTCGAGGCGAGGTGATCCCTGCAGCATGAACCTTCATGAAGCCCTTAGGATCAGCGCAGTCCTTTTCAGCATGTGTGGCATGTGGCCTGTGACAGGCTGGCCTGGTCGAGCTGGTTTTCTCGTGTCTCACACGCTTTGATGGGTGCACGGCTGTGCAATCCGCAGCGCTTCTACTTGTGAGCCGCACGTCCCTGCGCAATCAGGAGGCCAAGGCTACGTACATACATGCAAACATCATTCCGCACATGCAGCGGCTGCTGCAAGACGGTGATGACTTCTTACAAAGTCGGTGCCTGGGCGCTTTGGCAAATTTGGCAAGCAACAATACCGAAGCTGTGGAAAGGATGTCAGGAATGGAGGATGCGGTAATCCACATGCTGCGCAAGCGAGAAACTGAGCAAGTACAAAGTCGATGCCTACAGCTTCTGTGGGCCTTTCTCCGCGCAGGGAGACAGAAGAGGCAGAAGCCGCAGCAGCTTTGCAGTTCCGAGTTTTTAAATGCAGTTCTGGCTGCCCTGTCCAAGCATCCCAAAAGTGAGAACCTTTACGCCCAGGGCCTGGGCCTGCTCTGGAACTTTGCAGCGCTTGGCCAGGAGCAGAAGAAATGGATTCTGGACCGCAAAGGTCTTAGTCTCTTGGCAGATGCCCTGGAAACGCATGGGGATAGCCCTGTGGTGCTTCAGCATGGTCTGGAGCTTTTCCGGAGTTTGTCGTGTCTAGGACCTGAGGCACGTAAACAAGTCTATGATGCCAGGGCCATGGACTTTGCAAAATCGGCCCTTGCTGCGCGGCGTGATCCGCGAGTACTCTGTGCAGCCACGGCGGTTCTGGGGAATCTTGCTGTGGGCAATCCTGCCATAAAGCGACAAGTCTTTGACAGGGATATTCCTAAGGACATTTTGGCAGGGATGGAGGATCACGGGCGTGACGTTGGGGTACAAGTTGTCGGCGCGTGGGCTTTGGGTAACTTTGTCGGAGTTAGCCGCAAGCGTGCTCGACAGCTTTACGAGCTTGGAGGAAAAGACCGTGTCTTCTTAGCCATGTCGGAATACCCGCTCAACGACAGCATGAAAATGTATGGAACGGCTGTCATTCGAAGATTGGAGCTTGTGCAGGATCTGACGATGAACTCTGCCAACATGGAGGAAGATGATGAAGAGGAAGCGGATGCACCCGAGGAGATAATCGAGGGCAAGTCCTTTGCAGAGCTTGACCGGAAGGGTGAGGAAGAAGTCTCAGGGTCTGACAGCGAACTCTCCTCTGAAGATGCAGAGCTGAAAGCAAAGATACAAGCTTTGGCGAAGCAGACAGGACAGGGCGATGACGACGATGAGCCACACCGTGGCCCTCGAAGCGGTGTCAAAATTGGGAGTGACAATGACGACTAACCGCAGCGTCGCCGCGGTCAACTGCCTCGCCGATTCCGTAATTCCTGAAACGGCCCGTGGGCCGATGGCCTTGAGCCTTTCTGGCAAATGGCAGCCGAGGCCGTTCACGTTCCGGATTCTGGGAGGGCATCAACATTGACAGGGCTTTTGTCCTGCAGCGGGGCTCAAGCGGGGGAGGTCGACTTGATGTACCTGCTCATGGTCTATGGGCTGCTGTATGGAGTGAGCTTCATTCCTCCATCAGTCTTCGCCAGTATCAAGGCCACTTGCAGCTTATGTAGAACAGTGTTGGTAGTTTGGGATGCAATATCAGTTTTACTTTGCCAAAAGTCCTGCTGCAAACAGATACTTTGGCATGCTCCGCAAGGAGAGTTCAAACAGAGCTGCGCGGATTGTTGTTGGATGTTTCTTGCAAGAGGTTTCCTCGGACCACTCCAATCATGGTGTCTTTGATCTCCTGGCTGAACTTGTCCACATGTCCGGAACTCAGGGGAACCATTTGTAGTGTGGGCTCAGAGCTCCTGATTCAAACCAGGCTTGACACCTGCTGTTCCAGAAGACTTCTTTTCATCTTGAGCAGATGCGCAAGTTCAACACCTCTGCAGAGAAGGTCAAAGCACTGGACATGGGGGCCGTGGTGGCCG